CCTTTCCTTTCCTTTCCTTTCCTTTCCTTTCCTTTCCTTTCCTTTCCTTTCCTTTCCTTTCCTTTCCTTTCCTTTCCTTTCCTTTCCTTTCCTTTTTTCCCCCCAAGAGCAGAACTCACCTCCCTTTTCCCCCCTCATCTCCTGGGGGTGCTCCCAGATGAGATTTTCCTTTCTGGATCTCCAAGCCCCAGGGCCAGCACCCCCCCGGTGTCCCCGAGCCCTTCCCAGCTGCGCAGGCTCTGCTGGTGCCAGGCTCTGGTGGCACCTCCTGACCCGGCGTGTCCCCTGGCAGCCCCCAGGGCACAGATCCCCCTCCCCAGAGCTTTGCAAAGCTCAGAAATCACGGACGGCTCTGCTCCCTGCCTGCTTTGTCATTTACCCCGAGCCCCCCAAATCCCTTTGTGCTGCCCTGGCCCCTGGGGCTGTGCCCACCCTCCCTCCCCTCTCCGCAGGTTCGTGAAGTGGATCGAGGACGGAATTCCCGAGGATCCCTTCCTGAACCCGGAGCTGATGAAGAACAACCCCTGGGTGGAGAAAGGCAAATGCATCATCCTCTGAGGCCGGGCTTGCACTCCTCAGCCCCAGCTCCAACAGAGCCCCAAGAGCAGCCCTGCCCTGTCCTTTCCTCTCCTGTAGCTGTAGGGAGGTTTTAGAAATGGGGGGACCACGGGGAAATGCCCCAGGAGGGGCAGCCTGGGGGGAGGAGCAGCCAAGGCTGCTCCAGGGCCGTGCTGCAGCTTCATCTCACGCTACACCAATCCAAAAAAGGCAGATTTTTGCAACTTGTAAAGAAGCTTTTTGTAAACCCCCCCATTTTTAGTGGTTTTAGATACTTTTGTACCCGGTAGGATATTGTTTGGCAGCAAACCTGGCAGAATCCGGCACCTCGAGGTTCATGACTGAAATAAACAGAGCAATACTTCACTACTGATTTTTTCTCGATACGTTTTATTTCTTTTTTAAACAAAATAATCGGGTAATAAAAAAACACTACCTCAAGCTGATGGCCACACAGCCTCTGCAGGGGTTGGAAGGGCAAAGGCAGCTGCTCCCT